AATCTAAACGAACGTACATTTAAGATTGACCGCTAATTATTGATTTTTAAAATCTAAATCTTAAAATTCTAAAGTCTAAAACATGTTTTGACCCGTAAAAACCCATAAACCTCATAACTAAACCTTACTACAACAATTTAACCCAAATATAAATAATATCACAAAAAAATAATTTCGAAAAAGTGGCATTTTTACAAAGATTTAAAAAATGTGGTATTTTTGAAAAGTGGCACTTCAAAAGTGTCATTTTTAAAAAAAATTCATGTTTTTATTCATTTGAGTGATAAATAACAAAATACTTGTAAATTTTGTTAGGATAAAAAAATATTGATGAATTGAATTAGATTTAAGAGACAAAAATCAATGAACTTTTTTGTAAGATTTAATACATTTACAACTAAAAATATTTAATTTTGAAAAAACATTGTTTAATTAATATTTTCATAAATATATTAGTAAAAATTCCGCAAAAAATCCACCAGAATTAGTTGTTACCATTTAAATTATAAGTTATTCCGCCACATTCTGCGAAAAATCACACAAAAAATCCGTTAGATTCTGCCAGTACCATTTAGACCTATTATACAAAACTAGAAAAAGAATACACAAAGAAAATAATTTTATTGTCAAACAGAAACAACACATGCATATGAAAATTAAAATACGGTTATGAAATTTTTTTTTAACAAGTATTTGATTTAGAACAAACTTTGTAGATACCACAATTCAAATGTAATCCAATGTAAAACGCACATGCATGGCACATAGCCCATTTGGGATCATTAATTAATTACGAGTTTGAATTTTAATCTGAGTCGTAATTAACCCAACACGACTCGCTTTGTTAGTTGCAAATCAACTAGTAGTAGTCCCCGAAACACATCATTTTCAAACGGGTCTGTTACTTTTCCATCGAAGTCTACACATTAAAAATCCAATGAAATGCTTTTAATGCAGAAATTAATCACTCAATATTTACGTACACGTTATAGCAAAATAACTGAACAAGCAGCTCATAAAATCAACAACGATAGCTTAT